TTGAGATATCAAAAAAGTACTCCAGAGTGTTGTTCAGCATGGGGGTGAGTAGAAAATGAAGGCTAATCATGTTTTGGGTGTACTATTCCTTTAAGGCTGATTCCGACATCAGTCCAACTGATCAGCAATATGTACTGCTGATACTTTCAGAGGCTGATTTTATCAGTTTAGACAAAAAATAAACCATTAATCAACAAATCAAGCAAAACATGGATAGAAAATAGATAGTTGATGCACTTTATATGATCTCAAGGCATGGCTGCTAAAGGCGCTGATGACTCATTGAACACATGTCAGCACATCAACACATCTGGAAACAATAACAGGAAAAAAAAACAGCTTATATCGCCAAAAATATCGACCTGCAGATGTATCGGTCTGTCTCTACTAAAAGCGCTCATACAGACCACTGTAAAGGGATGTTGATTGTTAAGACATTGATTCCTGAGTCATGACATCTGCTACTAAACATTAAAAGTAATTTTATAGTAGATTTATCTCTTTTTTCGCAGATTAAATGAAATACAGTGCTTGTTAGAGCTGTTTTTATTAGATTGTCATAGCAATGGCTAAACAATGTAAAAACATTTATATAAACAAATGTTATTATTGTATGGATATTATAGAGCAAAATTGGGGCAATTTAGTTAAATAACTTTTTTTTTTAAATTGGAAAAAAATATGTTTAACACTGAAAAGTATTCCGTAAAAAATGTGTGTAAAACTGAAAAGTAATATTCAGAGCTTTTAAAAATTTTTATTTTTCAAAACTATTCACATGAAAATAAAGCAAATCAAATATGAATGAGACATTTCTAGTTCCCACAGTTCCTGAATGCAGCTTATGGGAATGTTTCCTTCAGGCACCGAAGCTGTCAGTCATCACTCTACAACCCCGTGTGATCTATAAGTCCCGCCCCCACACCCAAGGGACGGCACTTTTAAACAAAAATGTGAAATTTCAAAAAAAGAGGTCTTCAAAGGTGTTTTAAACATTTAATTTTATTTTTCCTCTTTCCAATCTAAAATCCTTGTTTTATTTAAAAAAATTTTTTTTAAAACATTTGGCCCCAATTTAGCTCCATAGAGACTTAGACTTAGACAGATTTATTTGTCTTTTTTTTTTAACACAAGTGTAAAACACAAAGAACAGCTCTCTGGACAATTTCATTTTTTTTTAAGTGCAGCCTTGAAAAATAGTAAAAAAGAGAAGCTCCTTGCTAATTTTTCACAACATTTGGCCAAAATATTATCAAAACATATCAGTGTAATTTGTACCAACATGGTACCAATGCTAACTGTGCTACGCATGCAGGCGTTATAGCCGTGGATCTAAAACCTTTACAAATTGTCGCTCTTCTGCCTGGAGAAAAATCTGGAGATGCTTCCTCAGATTAGATGTTTTCCATCAAACTTTGCTTCAAAAATAATTCAGCTTGCTCCGTCTGCATCGCATTCTGTTATTTAATCAGCATTTTACTCAAAATCCTGAAAAAAAACCATTGAAGTCAGAGTTTGTAGTTCAACTCTGTTCAGACGTTTGAGGGAAATCTTTAAGCTAACATGACAGAAAAGGTAATAAATTCTACTGATGGGTTAATGAGGCATCTTGAAGCGTTTCATTGCCAAACTGTATTGATGTTGCTTTGATCCGGTCTCACAGAATACTGACACCTGCTGGACATTTCAAGACACTACAGGCAGCTGATTTTACAAACTAAACTAAATTGATTTGATGACCTAATACAATGATATAATTGCAGTTATTGTAGGTTATATTGTATTATTTCATATCTATGTTTGAATTGAAAATATATTAATAATGTAATAAATAATGTAAACATATATCATAACGTGAACATTTTGGGGAAAAAGATGAATGAGCATGCTAGGATTTTAAATCATATTTTTAAAACAATAAGTACAGTTAAAACAGTAAATAAACTAAGAGTAAATTTAAAATTAGCTTGAATTCAATAAGTTGAGTGATAACTGAGAGGAAAAGGATGATACAATGAGAAAGTAAAAATAAAACAATGGCTAAAACGTTCCTATTGCTTTTAGGCTGCTCCAAATTCTTGATCATTTTAATGACAAACCGCAAAAGATGGGATATTTTTTAAGCAGATGCATCATGTTGACAAATACGTTTTTAACCACAAGTTTAGTGAGTCAGTCAGTTAGAAACAATCGGTATCGGTCACATGACTTTCTGGAAACACGCAGCGAAACAGTCTTTTGCTCTATAGGCTCCACGCGTGCACCCATAAATCACTGTTGCTGGATGCATCACTAATAAATACTAATTGTGACGATAGCGGTGCTCTGCTCACCCGTCCTGCTCTCCTACCGCTCCCTCAGGCTCGCTATAACTTCATCCGCAGCATGGCCGCCTACAGCCTCCTGCTGTTCCTGCTGCAGATCAAAGACAGACACAATGGCAACATCATGCTGGACAGCAAGGGCCACCTGATCCACATCGGTAGGATATCCTGAGAACCTTTGTTGCTGTTGCATCTGATTCCTCCTAAAAACGTAGATGTTTGTTTTTCTCCAGATTTCGGCTTCATGTTTGAAAGCTCCCCAGGCGGTAACCTGGGCTGGGAGCCGGACATCAAGCTGACGGATGAGATGGTGATGATCATGGGAGGCAAAATGGAGGCTACCCCTTTTAAGTGGTTCATGGAGATGTGTGTCAGAGGATATCTGGCCGTGCGGTGAGAGAAGTGTAGGTTCAGCTTCTGCTCTCCTTTCAGCTTGGCTTTGTTTCACATGTTTTATTTTTCTGCCTTCAGTCCTTATATGGATGCAGTGGTTTCCCTGGTGACTCTCATGCTGGACACAGGACTGCCATGTTTCAGAGGACAAACCATCAAGCTTCTCAAGTAAGATTTGAATATGCAAAACTTCAACCAATACAAATACCAGAGACCAGGTATTTACTAACAGATTGGCCTTTGCTGTTAAAACTTTTACTTTTTAAGTAAGACATTGTGGGATTTGTTGAGCGTCATTTTAAACACTTCAGGTTTCATTTGGATCATTTTAGTATCTTGTAAAATTGTATTGCTACATCAAACTATGTGATGTAATTTATTCCTTAAATTACTGTAAATAATCTTTCTAAAGCTTTGAAAGTTGGATAACAGAATTATTATTATTTTTTTTTGTCAAGGCTGAAACTGTAGATTTATTGCAATAAAGCTAAAGTTTTAATTACAGGTGCAACAAATTGATAATAATATTGAAATCAGCCCAGACATTTAAAAAACGTTATTCAGTCAATTGCTATAATGAATTTTAAGTCATAGGGAAATCATATTTAAATGTCAAATCATTCTGGATTAAACATGTATATAAATGTACTCTTTATCAGATGATATTGTCCCAAAATGTAGAACATTTTTATAAAAACCAAAAAAACTCTAAACTCTTTTTTTCTTCGTTATCTTATGCAGGCCAGTTAGTTATACGTCAGCTTGTACACCTAAATTCAGCCAATAATAGATCAACGCTCATCTGTTAATAATTTTTTCAGTCATTGCATCTTGATTCATATGTCGCAGCTAATATACGCAACGGTTGAAATAAGAATCTTCGCAGAGTAGTGGTGACCGTTACAGGTGTATAGTTGGAGAGCGAATTGTTTACTGTTTCTCAATTCACAAGAACACGAGTATGGACTAATGTACTCGCCATGTATGTTCTTGAGAAGAACACAGGAAAGTACGGACTTGGGGAGAACGGGAGCAAGCAGAATAAATATGGGTCAATTGGAACAGAAACATACTGATGACATCACTACACGCTCCTCTTGGAGCTGCATTTCACCTCCTGTTATTAATAGTCTCTAGATAATAATAAATTCTGACTTTTTTCATTTAGTGTGGGAATAATAGTTAACACAGTCAGATAAACACAAATAAAATGAACATTTTGCCAAATAAAACCAAAAACTCGCCATCAGAGCCAGCATTTCTTCACACACGGCAATGCAGAGAGAGGGCTGCTGGAGACAGGCTAGTATTAGCAACCAGCGGAGCCTCGGAGCTCCACTGGTTGCTGCAGTCATCTCAACATTGGAACTTTTTTTTTCATTATGCATTAAATCTGTAAATGGGCCATATAGTGACGCTTTAACGTGTAATATTCTCACCATAAATGGTTTTAAAACATACTTTTATTGAACAAGAGCAACAGAAAAGAGAACTTTTAACTTAATACTTTGAGCTCTGTGAGCGCTCCAGTCGTGTCTCAGTCTAGCCTGGGTGCCATTCCGAACTTAGTCCCGCCCACAAAGTTTGAGGTCGGGAAGTTCGGTCTGGCTCTGCTCCATAGTAGCGCGAGTATTATCGCCCACTGTCAGGCGATCCAATCAAATTGTCAGGGCGGGCTTTATACGATGATGGACAGATGACNACAGCTCTATGGAGCAGTATCAGACTCATATTCTGCCTAGAATTGAGTAGGACTACGTCAGGCTAGTCTCAGTCACCAATTTAGTGCTACTTGGTCCCAATGGAATTTCCCATTGGGAACATACTAGCACTAAGTTGCTAACTAGTTAGCAAGATGCTTTATAGAATCCGGCCACAACCAAACTTGCTTGCAAGCCTTTCGCCACAACAATCCCGCCCTCTTGATAAATGACCAATCTCATTCACTTTATTCACTCCTGTAAAGTCAGGCACCACTCGGGAGAATTCAGAAATGCAACGGTTGGAACAGCCGCTTCCCTACAACTTTGAGCTAAAATAACCTGCAGAAAATTTTTGTCCTTTATGAGCATTTTTAAATAAATTAATTGAATGAAATAAATACCATCAGTTTACTGTTGGATGTTTGTCTTGTTAACAGATTTACTGTTATCACCTCCTTTTCTGACCTTATGCTGATCTCAAGTTGCTTTTTAGGATAAATGTGTGACCGACCCCATGAAATATTATTTATTTTACTTTTTCATTTTTACATTTCCAATTTTTTCAACACATTTCCACACTAACCACCTTCAATAACCTTAAAGGTACCGAATTATAATGACTTCAAGATATGCTGACCATTATTTCAATTTCACCAATTAAAACGAATGATTGTTCTTCAGCAGATCATCATATTATTTTGCAAAGTATTTAAAATATTTACCTTTAATTTTTTACGATAAAAAGAAAATCTTTATGTGCAAAATAGATAATCCTTATAAAAATTGTATCCTTTTGGAAAAGTGCTTTAGAGTTTAACATAAAAATATCTCAAAGAAGCATAAAACCTACAAATGAATAATTTTGAATTATCCCCTAATATTTCCAACTGTCAAATGTATTCAAAAGAACATTTGCCATTGTTTTATAAAGTACAAATTGACTGTTAATGTGCACGTATTTTTGTATTTACATGCAGGTCAGAGACTTTAAAGATGTTGTTGCTTTTTCCCTTTCTTCTCAGGGGACGCTTTAACCCGCAGATGAGTGAGAAAGAAGCGGCGGCGTTCATGATAAAGGTCATCCAGAGTTGTTTCCTCAGCAGCAGGTGAGAAAGTCGCTCCGTGTCCAGCTGCTTATTTAATGCTATATTTATTAGGGGTGGAACGGTTCACAAAATCCACGGTTCGGTTCGATTCACGG